AAACAACCACAAATCGAGTTGACATCTGCTCTTCTCTCCATTCTCGCCAACTTGTTTCACCTTTTTTGGATAGACTTGTGACTGGCGACAAAAAATGGATCTTTATCGAAATGTTAAGCGTCGTAGACAGTGGATTAGTAAAGGGAAGGCCCCCCAGCCACAGCCGAGAAGGGAACGTCATGGGCATATATATATATATATATATATATATATATATATATATATATATGTGTGTGTGTGTGTGCACGTGCGTAATATTTTTGTTAAAGAATATATATTTCAATAGCTTAGTTACCTCCCTTGATGTTACTTCTCGTCTATGTTTGCATCGTTAAAATTAATAAAAAATTTACAGTACATAAGTTTGGCGATGTAAAAAAAAAATAATTTTCAGATGAACACAGCAAATTTGTAGTAGCAAAAACAAGACCCTGAAGATGACATTGGGCTAATGCCGAAAGTACTCGGGATTAAAATGTACAGAAATCAACATGGTAATTATCTTTCTTCCTTTAACAAGGATACTAAGAAACTTGTCTGTAAAAATGAGAGGATCCTGTTAAGAATAAGTAGACAAATCTTGTCTAAATTATTTAATGAGTTAATAATTAATTTAATTAGTTAATAAAAACATGCTGCCAATTAATATATATATATATATGCCATTCGCAAGCAGTTCTGTTTTGCTGTATCACAACACAGATTGAAACCCAACCGATTTGGTGTCAGTCGCTGGCGGTTGTCTCCGCTTCCATCATTCTTTTTTTTTTTTTTTTTTGAGAAACGTAAGTTGGTGTCGTGTTTACCTGTGTCGGCCTTCTGTCGTAGTAGTCGCTATATTCTGCATTGCAGTCCGACATTGACTGTCGGTGCGTGGCGCACACTTGCGCGGCTTGTTCTTCGTCGTATCTGCAACCAGACGATGTCATGACTTGTCGAACCTCTCTTTCCAGCTCTTCTCGAAGACTTCTTTTCACTCTGTCGAGACGCCGTCTCTTTTTCGGGGACACGGCGTCCCATTCGTCGTATACCAGCGTCTTCGATTGTTTCGGACCGTCCGTTTCGGCAGTTTCGTTTGCTAGCAGCTCGTGGTATTCGTTGTTAGTGTTATACCTCAACGTACCTATTCTATTAATAATAGACTCTCTCACGCCTTATAAGTAGTAGTAGTAGTAGTAGCGGTCGCCAGTTGAGCTCAGTGGAGTTGAGTGAGTCAGTCGATGTCGGACATTGAAGTATCAGCCATCACAACTAGATTGCTGCGTCATTAACTCTTATTTCAAGTTCCTAACGTTTTGTACGTCAGACCCTTTTAGGACTTAGCGAAATACAAGCCTCCACTGTGAAAACTACTCTACAACTGTTAGCGAATTTGGTGATCTGTTTTTTCCACACGGTCAGCCACATTAGCTCGATGGTTCCCCAAGATTTGAGTCTGGACATGGAACGCGTCGTCGTGTAGTAATACATCCTGTTTGTTATTGCCTCCTTCTCGTGGAGAACAACCTTCCACGGTTCGGTGTTGCTGGTCGAGATGCACGGCGTTCGTCATAGCAAGCGCTAGTTTTGATGCTTTACATTGATGTACGTTTCGGCCTCTTCTAGGATGCACTTGGATTCCTCGACGTTCTGCGGTGTGAACCACATCTCGTCCGTGTAGATTAGGGTTTTGTCCACGCACGTCCCGAACGTGAAGTTGTCGCTTACCTGGCACCTCATTCTTCCGCAGTTCATGAGGCCGTTTCGTATTGATCTTAGTATGTAGTTCTTTCCCGAGTTGGCCACACCGGTGATGTGAAACGCGTTGATCTTGGGTTTGATTTTGTTGCAGTTTTTTGTGTATAATATGTAACTAGTGAGTCAATCCAAATGACTTGACTCACTTTATAGTCTACCAATAGAAGGTTAACCAATCAGAAGACGTAGAACATTCAATCCGTCGTGTATAAAGGCGGCCATTTTTGTTCACTCTACCCGAATGTTCAGTTCCAGCTTGTCAGGCGAAGAGGAACAGAAGGACGAACTATGCTCTGCGACTTTTACCAAAATATCCACTGCTAACCTGAACAACGCTTTCTTACTGTCTTCAAAATATTCACTGCTAACCTCTGGATTCTATACTCGAAGACGACCGTCATGATGAATAACAAATTTCTCGATGTCGAAGCAGTGGTGATTGCACCATTCTTCCAAGATGTTAAGCAACTGGACTATGCTCCAGTACCTGTTTTTATCGTTCTTCTTCTCCGCTATCTGCTCACATATTGGCGTGACTTTCGCCTCTATGTTGACGTCCGTGGCCACCGTGCTGATTATCGTGTTGATTTGGGGGGGTGTTTTTGAATATGTCGTCCCAATTCTCCCGGTGATCTCTTTTCGCCTGTCCCGTGTTCGACTTGCAGTACATGATGAGGTCTCCCAAGTCCATGCTGTTACATTTCTTCATCATCTTCTTGATGAATTCGTATTTCTGTCCCTGCACGGTAGGCTTTCTCCCCACGTACTCGTCGTCGTCGCTGGCCTCTGCGGATTCTTTGCTGGTCAGCTGGCAGTACATCGTTTTCTGCCCGGTCGTAGCCAAGTTACCGCAAGCTACCACTTTTCTTATTTCAGCGTCCGAAGTGAGGTATTTCGCTAGGCCGAACGGGTTGTATACCCTCTGGCATTTCATGTTGTATTCATTTCTTGCTTGGTTACCCATGAGCTTCTTCAGCATGATGAAACTGTGCTGGCTCGTCGGGTGCTCGTTATGCCATGTGATCATGTGGAAATGATCGATATCGTTACAAGCTTTTATTTTTGACGGTCCCGCCTTGTGATGTACTATTATGTACGGGCAGTTGATGGGGATGTATAGTATTTCTGAGAATAGTTTTCCTTGAAGAATTATAGATGGTCATCTTTTTTTCAAAGAATGTATAGCTGTTTGTATTGCTGGTATTTTTTTTTAAAGTATGGTGACAATAATTTTTCCTGGTAATTAATTATTGCTGGTAATAATTTTTTTTTTATTACAAAGTATTTCTGGTATTAAAACCTATTTTTACACAAGTTTGGGTGATAACTATTTGCCCATTCATTTGCTTTATTCACCTTTCTCTTGATGGTTCTTGAATAGACTTTGAAGATGGAAGCCATATTATGAATGTTGATGCGATTACTGAAGGCTTGAATGATCATTTTCTTCTCACCATTGCTCTGTTGAGAAGACAGAGGGAGTGACACGAAACAATTTTGACCTGTTCTTTTTCTGGCTGAACAACTCAAAGGATTTTTCAGTTATGGTGTCAAGGTGGGTAAATGAAAACCTGGAAAAAAGAAATTCAATTTAGTGTTTTTTTTTTCAGATATTAAACATAGGATGGACAGTTATAGTGTAACACGATTTTGAAAATTTTGCTGTTACACTCGGTAAGTATGCAGCCATTTTTAGTTTTTATGCTCCAACTACGACGTCTAGTGACGACATTAAGTTGCGATACTTCAGTATAAACTTGTGTAATTGGTAAGCATGGCGTTAGTAAGACCAACTCAAATGGTCATCTAATGTTATTCGTTTTTAGTGAGAATGCACTCTTGATTACCAGCACTATCTTCCAGCTTCCTAAACACCACAAATCTAGATGGCGATATCACCAATTCAACCCCAGTCATCTCATCGACTAAGCGATTTTGAGGTTTTCCTTCAGGAAGGCTGTAAAAATTACATACCTTATCCTTTGGCAATTGTATTTTCTAACTGGTTTAATTTAGCATGGTTAGTTTTAAGGCATATCAACTTCGTTATTTTCGATTTTTATTGCTGGTAATATTTTTACCAAAAATATATTGCTAGTAATATTTTTTCCCAAAAATATATTGCTGGTAATATCTTTTTCTAAAAATGTATTGCTGGTAATATTTTTTTGCTCAAAAATGTATTGCTGGTAATATTTTTTCCCAAAAATGTATTGCTAGTAATATTTTTTCTCAAAAATGTATTGCTGGTAATATCTTTTTCCAAAAAATGTATTGGTGGTAATATTTTTTTCCAAAAACTATATTGCTGGTAATAATTTTTTCCCAAAAATGTATTGCTGGTAATATTTTTTTCCCAAAAATGTATTGCTGGTAATAATTTTTTCTCAAAAATGTATTGCTGGTAATATTTTTCCCAAAAATGTATTGCTGGCAATATTTTTCTTTTTTCGGAAATGTACCGATAGGGCGTATTTAAGCTAGCTTAATATTTTAGCTAGCTTAAAATTTTAAAGCTACCTTCAATTTTGGATACAAGAAGAAATTAAGAGTTAATACCTTTGAACCATGAACGCAACGATAATGATTAGCATAATATATTAATATATATTTTTAACCTCACATAATCTGCCAACTCTGAATCTGAGCTCAACGAAAATCGTTCCATGCACCTCTCTTTTCCAGAGGTTTTGAATGAGCAATGAATCATTGAAATCGGACCAGTGGGAGCGGAGGAGTTGCTTGGACACACACACGTACAAACACACAGACACACACATACACTGTACTTTTTATATATATATATATATATATATATATATATATATATATATATATATATATATATATATATAATTAACACGGATATAAGAAGTTGTCCGGGACCAGAGGAAGTCTCTTATATCCGTGTTTCTCTTATATCGGGTTTGATCTATTTTATATACATTAACACAGGCTCTAATTTGGGACCAGAAAAATCTCTTATATCCGGGTTTCTCTTATATCCGGGTTTGGTCTATTTTGTTTAGGTAAGTATGGGAACACTTCATATAACGCTTTTTACGTACAGAACACTAGTTTATTTAACAGTTATAGGCATAAAAACACAGACAAAAATACATTTTCAATCAGTTTTCAAAATAATTCATTCAAAAATTACTTTTCTTAAAAAGTCAGTCATTTTTGATTGTACAGAAATCTCTTTGTTAACATCATGAACACTTTCATACAGTCCGTAAATCATATTCAATGCGCCATCAGGATTACTGCTTTTTTGCTTCAAAGTAGGCTGTCAGAGTTTCAAGCGCATTCAATGCAGCCAGAGAATTTGGCACTGGTTTGTCACTTTCAGAAACTTCAGAACTTACTCTTTCAGCATCATCATCTTCGTCAAAATCTTGATCATCCGATTTTATACCACGCGTGATGTCCGTGTCAGTCAGTCCTCCATGACATTGTGTGCGGTCGTCGAAGCTGATAAATTCGTCAAAATCTGTTTGCCGTGGTTTTGCCGACTTACCAACAACTACAGCTTGCTTTTCACTGCCGTCCATGTTTGTGAACTGAAGCATCGTGAGTCTGTTTTTAGGAACTTTTGTCCCATTTGACTGTTCGTCTCCGGCAAATCGCAAAGCTCCAGACGGCATGGCTTTGTAGAAAATTCCCGTTTCATCACAGTTCCAAACATCTTTTGGATCATATCTACGAAAAAGTTGCGGCAAAACGTTTGTCACCCATTCGTTGGCAGAACCGTGATCGGCTGACGTTGATTCGCCGTGAAATCTTTTGAACGAAACGTTATTGGCCTGCTTCCAGCGCATGAGCCAGCCATTGCTCGGTTCAAAATCAACTTCAAGATTTACGGCCAGTTGTGGTGCTTTCTGCCTGATGACGTGATCGGTGACGGTAGCTCCATGAGCATATGCTTGCGTAAACCATTGTGTAAGCGCTTCGTTAACGTCCTTGTGCACGGATTGACGCTTTCGTTTGCGATTAGTGTTTCCGTTCATTTGCATGCAAGATCTGAGATCGTCTTCTTTCTTGAGAATTTTTGCTGCAGTTGAATAACCGATTCCGTACTTTTTGGCTGCAGCGGCCAGTTTGAGTTTCTTCACTTTGACATCGTCGATGAGCTCCAACTGTTCAGAAATGCTCAGGTTTTTTTCGTTGAGAGGCCGACGCCGACATCACTAATCACCAATGATCGCAAGCAAACGGTTTTCAGTGGCAAAATTAACAGACAAACTTCTGACTCAACAGAACAGTGGGTAAAAGTGAAAGTGTTGTCCAGTAAATGCAACGACAAGCAAAGTCGGCAAAAAAGCGGGCGGCGCTACCCTTAGACACACAAAGCAAAATCATAAGGTAGAGGGTGTCTCCTACAGACACAGATTGGACACAGTGTGTCTCTAGACTAGTCAAGATTAAGTCATTGAACTTCACTCTCTCTCTAACTGACCTCTGTTTGACCGATTTACGACATCACACTGTCACTCAAAACGAACTCTCTTATATCGGGGAGGACGGGACCAAAGAAAATCTCTCTTATATCCGGGTTTCTCTTATGTCCGGGTCTCTTATGTCCGGGTCTCTTATATCCGGGTCTAATTTATATACATTAACACAGGCTCTAATTTGGGACCAGAGAAAATCTCTCTTATATCCGGGTTTCTCTTATATCCGGGTCTAATTTATATACATTAACACAGGCTCTAATTTGGGACCAGAGAAAATCTCTCTTATATCCGGGTTTCTCTTATATCCGGGTCTGTTATATCCGGGTCTAATTTATATACATTAACACAGGCTCTAATTTGGTACCAGAGAAAATCACTCTTATATCCGGGTTTCTCTTATATCCGGGTCTTTTATATCCGGGTTACACTGTATATATATATATATATATATATATATATATATATATATATATATATATATATATATGTATGTATATATATATATTATATGATGGCCTGAAGAATAAGTTTTCGCATGAAATAATCTGTCGCCGTTGGGCGTTGGCATCAATGTCCACTTTAATATTGATGTACGCTTAATTCTTGACATGATTAGTATAATCCATAAATATAAAAGACCAATTTCTTTGATCTTGTTGTTCATTCAATCTGTGCTCAACGAAAATCGTTCCCTGGGCCTAACTTTTCTAGGGCTTTTAAATGAACTATAAAATCATTGAAATCGGGCTGGTGGAAGCGGAGGAGTTGCTTGGACAAACACGGATAAATACACATACACTATAAATTATATATATATATATATATATATATATATATATATATATATATATATATATATATATATACTATCTGGGAGTCGTTCATCTTGATTTTCAAGGGTGTACAAGATTTATATGTCGGCCATTTAAAACTGCAACAATGTTATTTAGCCGCTGACAAGAACCAGTTTTAAACTCAGATAGAAATAATTAGAAAGCATCCAAAATAATTGGGATGCCACAGTATAAAACCTTGAGGTCATGGCAGCTGAACATTCGGCTATTGAAGCGATTTTTTGATGGAAAGCGAGCAACCATTTCGAATATCTCATAAAGCATTTACGCGGCCAATCAGATGAAATGTTTTTGCGCATGCGTGAACAGTCACTCTCTGATGAGATTACTCAGTCGGCAGTGAGAAACCATTGAAATCGCGTAATGTGCGAACTCCTCATTCACAATGGTTGATTGTGAATGTTCTTCACGTTTCAGGAAGGGTTTGCACATAACATTGCATAACACATATCTATTGGGTCTTTCACTACTGTTTTCACTACGTAAGTTTCAACAAGTCACCTGATAGTGATTCCCAAACAGGAACTTGCCGAGATGTTTCTTCCACTTTTAAAAAGTGTAAGAAACTTGTGTCAAATGTGCGAGGCTCCAATTAGCCCTAATTTCCCTAGGTAGGCCATTTATTTGTTAATATCAAACTTTTCACTACCGTTTTCTGGTCATGCATTGATTAGAAACTATTATCCTCATCTATAATATAAGTAATCATAATACCTCATCTCAGAGATATAGAGATGAAATAAATAAAATAAAGTTGAGTAAATTGGGTTAAATAATACAGTTGAGTAAATGGAATTGATAAACGCGCGTATAGCGCATATATATATATATATATATATATATATATATATATATATATATATATATATATATATATATATATATATATATATTATTTAAAAAATATACTTCTTGCTATACATAAAGTTCTCATGTTTCAAAACAACCGAACAAACATATCGGCTCTTGTTTTTGAAACATATTTTAAATAAATAAATATATTTATCCTCTCTACGTTTGTATCGAGCACTATTTTTTAAAATAATAAGAAAAATACTAAAAGAACTTTGGATTATTTACCTAACCAGTTCTTTCCTATTTTCTATATATTTTCACATTCACACACACACACACACACACACACACATATATATATATATATATATATATATATATATATAATTATTTCTGCCGTTGTACAACATGGCCTTCTTTCGAACCGAACCATTTATTTCGTCTACCGGGGTACATTGTTCTAGTTCTACGTGCCATGCCTCTTCCGAATGTCTCAGTTATTTCCCTTTAACTCAGCTCTTTTGGTTCACCACTGCTGTGGCCCGGTATTGAACACACTACTCTTTGGGTCTTGTCACTGGATCTAACCAACGTCTTTTATCCACTAACCCGGTGGAAGAAATAACGGCTTCGATTCGAAATTCCAACCAACTAACGAAGGCCGGAGCGCACAACGGCCGAAACTTTGTGAATATGGCAATGAAGATGAGGATAACAGTCCGAATAATGTAAATAATGCAAGTAATCATAATACCTCATCTTAGAGATATAGACAGATATATAGAGAGTCATAGACATAAAGGCCGGAGCGTATAACGGCCGAAACGTTGTGAATATGGCAATGAAGATGAGGATAACTGTCCCAATAATGTAAATAATGCAAGTCATCATAATACCTCATCTCAGAGATATAGACAGAAATAAATAAAATAAATACAGTTGAGTAAATTGAGTTAAATAATACAGTTGAGTAAATGGAATTGATAAACACACGTATGACTGATATATATATATATATATATATATATATATATATATATTATATATATATATATATAATATATTTAAATAAAGATAACGTCGTTTATTTTTTGCTAGACCTGCCTTAAATAAATAAGGAATTATATTTCAACCTAATTTAATTTAATGGTGAATAAAGTAGTAACAATAATTCAATTATGGAGTTCACTGTTGCCTGGAGTTTACTTGTACAACGGCCGAAATTTTGTGAATATGGCAATGAAGACGAGGATAATAGTCTGAATTATGTAAATAATGCATGTTCAATTATGGTGTTCGATTATACTATTTTGCTTGAGGTGTACTTGTCCAAATATTGTGATAAGATAACATCACTATTTTTGTTCATTTCGCTTATTTCATTGAAGCAGCTGTTTTCATATTCTTTTTATACTTTAGCACCACTCAGAAGAGGGTCCTTGGATGAGGCTACTATTATGAGGATATGTAGGATAGATAAAGGCTGTCTCTAGACAGGAAGAGGTTAAGATTACAGTGATCAGGAAAGTATTATCACGGGAGTCTTTTCAACAAAGAAACAATTCTGGCGAAAAAAAAACTGTCTTTGTGGGAAATGTGTTGTCGAGTGGGAAATAATTCATGGCTCCCGAGGCTGCCTATTATCCAAGTCATTTGCCCCCAGAACCGTGTACGCGATAAACGGTAATCAAATTATATTTTTCCAGAAAAGTCTCCCATATCTATAGAATCCATTTTTTTACCCCACCAGCTAAAAGTTAATTAGTAAGATTTGCATCGCTAAACCTTTAATGTCTTCCCGCCAAAAAACAAAGAAAAACTATAAAAAATTTTTACAATTTAAAATAAAAAGAATTGGCTTTAAATAACCTGCAAAAGGTCGATAAGCCATAGAAAACAAATCAATCAATAATTTGAAATGGCCAATCGAGCCGTGCGCTTAAATCTGAAGGTACTAACAAGAAAAAAGATATTTATTTTGTAAAGATAGGAAAATATGGCACAAGGCTAAAAAGGGAAATAGAAAAAGATGGTCTTTTTTCTTATAATTAAATCTAGCTAGTCTCAGTTACTAACCCAAGCATAACACAGTATTCCTTATACCAAAACAATTCTTAAGACTTCCACTATAATACCTCAAGTCTCTATGAAAACCTATTTCCCATATGTACAATTTTTTTCTGGGGGAGTGGAATTAACAACAAAGAAAGATCATTAAAACAATTACCATGAAAATATTTGTAGATGGCTGAGTTTGAATTCAAAACTGTAATTTCCAGAGAGTAATTACTGTAGCAATCTACGAATTCTAGTCTGTTTGATGACAATTAATCAAGGAAGAAATGAATCCATACCTTCTTCATGGTCGTTAATGCAAGCAGACCCGTGTAGGTTTTGAACTCGCTTCTCCGACACCATTTTTCATGCTGATAAACAAAAGACCTATGTTTTTTTTTTCTCTCTTCTTTTTGGTGCATATTTATTTTAAGCCTGTCTCTGGGTAATCGTTATTTTAGCCGATAGAATCTCAATAATAATTTCAGCTCCAAATAGAATCTAATTCCGACGACTTTTCATCAAAACTAAGTCGGTCTTTATTTCCACAAAATAACGAGCGGGCCAAATTTTTAATAATCTCTTTCGAATAATTCTTGCATTTGGCTTTTAATTAATTTTGTATTTTTCTGATATTTTCCCGCTTTTTCTGAGGCATTCACGCCATTTTTAATGCAATTTAAGCGACTTTTCTTAATGATTTGTCATGAAAAGAACTTTCTCTTCACATTCAGGCTTTTTCTTCTGTATTATGTTGAAAATTATTGGCTTGTTAAATGTATTTTCTTTATTCTTTCTTCTCTTTTCTTTCGTTTTCCTTCTGCTTTATTCTTTCTTTTCTTTCTTCTCTATTCT